CCCCAAAACCCCAAAACCCCAAGCAGAAATCAAAATTAATGGATAGTATAAATCTTAGAGTTTTAATTTTTATCAATCAAAATAAAATATTTTCAGAGACTTATCATTAAGGGCATAAGCAGATGATGCTAAAACAATTTTTATAAATTTCATCTAAATTCTAGAGCTCCATCAAATTATTCTTCATTTACCTTTGTATGCTCATAAAGAACATTCATATAGGCTTTTTTGCATTCTTCATACTTCATGTTCTAAATGAAGGGGTGTTTTAGTAAATCATCTACAGAAGATCTCTATTCTTATTCCTTAGTAAGACAGCACTCAACAAAATTACATAATTCTTTGGAATACTTTTACTTATCTATTCTAGGAGGTTGATTAGTAAGAATATATAGGCAAATTTTTTATGTATCTTCACCGAAATAAGGAGGCTAACCTTAAATTAGCTCAAGTAAAACAATGCCATAACTCCATATGTCTACTTTTTCACAATAGGGGTCAGTCCCCTTTATTATTTCTGGAGCCATCCAGCACATAGTACCCATTTTAGATTTTCTCTTTCTTCTTTCTTATGTTAGTTATGCAGCATATCCGAAATCTCCTATTTTGAGATTTCCATCTTTATCAAGAAAGATATTATCACTTTTCATATCCCTATGAATTATATGCTTCTTATGCAAATATCTTAATCCTTTCAGTATCTCAAAAGCTACATATTGAATTGCAAATTCATTGAATTCTTTCCATAAACCCTTTTCTATAATGTCAGTAAGACATCCAGCATTCATAAATTCTAAAAACATCCAATATCGATCCATATAAAAATACCCATCAAATAACCTTACGACATTTTCATGCTGGCAAGTTGACATAATAGCTATTTCATTTTTAATTGTATCCTATTATGCCCAAGAAATTTTCCTGTTTAGTGAGATGAATTTTAATGCTAGCCTGATTCCATCAGTCTTTCAAGACACTTCAAAGATTTTTCCATAGGCACCAACACCTATCTAAGCAATGATATCATAGTACTCAGCAGGATTATCCTGTTTAAATAAACTTTAATTCCTCATTAACCTTGCAACCTCAAGGTTTCGAGGAAGAGGGATTTCCTATTCCTCTTTCTCCAAATATCTTTGATTTTAAAACTATAGTACTTACAAAACTTGTTCAGGGTTTTACTGAATAAGTTATCTTTCAAAATTCATACTCATTAATTAATCTTCTAACTCTTGGGGCAAACCATTAAAACCTGAATCGGCATTATTATCAACATTTACAAAGTAAACTTTATCCATTGGGGATTAAGTAGATACCTCAGAGCTCGATGAAGTTAATTTACTTTCCTCATCTGATTGTTGCTTGATTGTAGGTCTCTTGAAACCCTTCATGGTCACCTTATACTGCCCTAATCCTTCAGTAGCCTCAACATTATATACAAATTTAGGCTTTTTCACATTAGTTAAGCCTCTTAAAGGAGTGAATGTTCCTCTTCTGATGTGCAACTAGGAATCTATCTTTTTAACCTCTTTTTATTATGGCTATATTCCCATTAGCTCCCTCCATTCAGTGGGTAGACCTTCGTATTGCGATGTATTATCATTATAGGAAATTGAGACTAATTACTCAACTCCTTTTGGTTTACTTATGCGTAACTCATCAATCACTGTTTTTCCTTTCTCTAATCCGACTAATACCATTGATTGCGATAATTAATCTTTACCATACATTTAACTCTTTTTTTTTAATTTTGTATTTTTCCAGCTTGATTCAGTAAGACTATTATTTTGCTTATCTAATTCACTAAAATCCTAGGATCTCTGTCTTTTAATCACAAATTCTTTACCATTTTATTCGAAAGTAATGACACATGCATGGCATATTCTCTTTCTTTACTTCTTCTTTCCATCAGATGTCTTTAATGCCTCTCTATTTGAACAATTAGTGCAATGAGGTCTATTGCAAATGATACATACATGACCCCCTCTCTAAAACTTATCTAGTTTTTTAAGACATTTTGAGCAACTTGAATTATTTCCCATTGCAAATTAGGATTTAATCTTATTTTAATTATGTAAATGCCTAAAATTATTATATTTTGTCTTCGCGGGGTTTTGGGGTTTTGGGGTTTTGGGG